GGCCTTTTCATTTCCTGCGGACCAAAGTTACTAGTGCCTTTACTCCTGTCCCTTATTTCCAAAGTTGAACAAAAAAATAACCTAAAAGTGTACCTTGGGTGTATTTCAGTCACTACACTGACTATATGTCATATCATCTGCTTATGTACCTCTATCCTTAGTCAGACTGGGCTCTTTAGAAAGTCTTTGATTCCTCAGTATCTTTCACATAGTAGAAAAGCAGTTAATGATTGCTGAATGAATAATGAGTAGAAGGAAAAGGAAAGGAAGGAGAGAAGAGAAGCTATCCACTTTTTAAATTCATATCCCTTTTTTTCTGAATTCCAATCAGCTCAGCACACTATTATTGGAACACTCTTATTAAATTCTTAGCATCTTTGATCCCGATACCATATATACTCCAAATTCTTGACTTTAAGCCCTCTATTATTGTGATCTCCGGTCTTTATGATGTACCCTCTCCTATCTCCTGATACACCCTGTTGCTGCTTCTCTCTGGTCTTTTGACTCCTTCTGATTTTCCTTTTAGTGCCAGAATATGCTTTTTTCCTTCATGTTTCCCTTAAATGTCCACATGAGTTCTACCTATTCCAAGAAACACTATATCCTTGAATTTGACCTATCTTACTTATTAGTTCCATGGAAAATCAGGATTCAGAAGAATTTAAATCAATTTTATTATCATATTAAAAGAACTTCTTACAAAGAGAAATGCCTTTAATTATGTTCCTAATTCTGTCTCTGCAGTATTTTCTTTTTTGAGAATCAGATTACTGAAGTAAGTGGGTTATCTTCATCAGATTGATAAAATCAACTACAGCAAACCTAGTACACTACTTTAAGAAATAATCTATAATTTCAGAGTTACAAGTCAGCAGTTGTTAGGCTTATTAAACAGACTTTTAAAACACTGGAGAAAAACTCTTTATCCTTCTTAAGCAGATATTAGCAATGTAGATTTACATATTATACATGATAACTAGTGTGTTTATATTGAAATATATTTTTTCATGTAATCTAAACCAAAATAAATGGTTAATAGAGTGCTTTGCATTTTCAAGAACATTATGAATTTTAAGCCATTTGGTCTCACTTTTTAAAAAAATTAAGTGTGTCTATTCAAAAGCTTCTATGATCTATATATTATATTTGTGTAGTGAAGTGTATAAATATGTATATATCTATGAAGAAGAAAAAACATTATGCTTCCTTCCACCGTTAAGGAAGCTGCCAACCTAATTTTAATCAAAGGTGAATTAAAGATACTTGATTTATAATTTTTGATTTGACATCATCTTTTAAAAACTTTTAACTGGGTGTTGACTTCTTTCTTCCCCCATTTAAATGTGATTTATAGGCTGTAGATCCCTGTCAGGTACATCATTTCATTTAGCCTCCACAAAAACACAGTAATTTCAGAATTATGCTCATTTGACAGTTGAGGTGTCTGAAGTTCTGATTTTGACCATGCAGCTATTAAACCACAGAGCCAGCATACAAACCTGTATCTTCTTATGCAGTTTTTTATTGTGAAAAAGTTACGAGGGGAAGGGGGGGGACACAGTCAGATTCCCTGATAAAGTATTAATGATTCATAATTTATATGCTTTATTTTTCTGGAATGGTTGCTATTTCATAGAGGAGACTTCTGTAGAGAGAATAGTCATTCTAATATTTTAAAATTAAATTATTCTAATTATTAATCTCCTAGATACAGGTATTTAGAGACATTTAAAAAAGTTCAACTGGGCCTATTATACAGGTTCTGTGCAAATGTTTTAGGGATTGCTATAATTGAATTCATAGGCTGATTCGGTTTTTAACCCTTCTGGTAAATAAACCGATGATTGGGGAGTTTAAGACCTTATGGGGGAAAATAAGGAGGTCACTCTAGTCAGGAATCAGGTTGGGTTTTGCTTCATCTTCACTGTATTGCAGGCATCCAACTCGTCCAGCAGAGGGCTGCATGCCCTTGGGCAGAGATGCCAGAGAATTTCTCAACCTCTATGCTTCTCCCTGGGCTTTCAGCCTTATCTACTAGCTGCCACACAGGTCTCTCCAGGCTGTAGGCTCCTCTCCTTACTCAATGCTGGTGTGCTAAGTGGTACAGGAGGTTCCTTATTGTTTCTACCCCCTCAAGCCTAGCTGGCCTTGCCAGGTGGGGTTTTCCCAGTGTTCCTGCTCAATGATCCCTGTGCAACTAAACTCTTGCATCATTGGTCTGCCTTGGGCTAATATTTCTGGTCTCTGCCTCAAGAATAGGAGACTTCTCCCTGGCCTTCTGCTGTGCCTCCATATATCACAGGAGGCTTGCAGAAAAGTATATGTGAGCAAGTGTGACACCCCTTGAGTTTTAGTGTCTTAAATTATTCCTCGGAAGTAATTCCTAGGCTTTTACCAGTTTGTTTGGATTTTAACTGATACTCACCAGCTAGTATGATGGCAGCCTCATCTTTCTGGACCCTGCCACAGCTTGAAACAGTTTTTGTGTCTCTTCCCTTTTTGGAGGGGCTGGTTGCTCTTTGGAAATCAGGTTACTTGGTTATCTTATGACTCTATTTGTCATTTGCACAGAACCTGTATAATGTACTGTTTTTGCAGGACACAGTATCTGGAAAGGCCCACTTGAACTTTTTTATATGTCCCTAAATATCTGTATCTAGGAGATTAATAATTAGAATAATTTAATTTTAAAATATTAGAATGACTATTCTCTCTATAGAAGTCTCCTTTATGAAATAGCAACCATTCCAGAAAAATAAAGCATATTAATTATGAATCATTAATAGTTTATCAGGGAATCTGATTGTGTCCCCCCCTCCCCTCATAACTTTTTCACAATAAAAAACTGCATAAGAAGATACAGGTTTGTATGCTGGCTCTGATTGCCTCAAAAAAATTTAAGATTTTGTTATTAATCTGGCTTTTTCAACCACCCCACCTCCTTTTTTCTCCTGGTACTGGTGATTGAACCCTATGGTACTCTACCACAGAACTATACCCCAGCCCATTTTATTTTTTGAGACAGATCTTGCTAAGTTGCTGAGGCTGGCCTTGAGTTTGTGATCCTTCTGCCTCAGCCTCCTAGAAGTCACCAGGATTACAGTGCTTAGTTTATCTGGCTTTTTCTTCTTGTTCTGATGGGAGTGATATTTTTTAAAGCTTTCCATATAGTAAGCATAAGAGTAACTCTCTCAAAGTCAGATTTATTAAAATAAGATTTTCTCTGAACTTCCAAGATCTTTATTATAGTACCATTGCTAGATACTTGTATTTCTTTACCTGTAATATTTGTGTATGTATTATCTTGTGTAGTAAGTTATGGTGCCTTGTCTTGATCTTCATCCTTCGAGGTGCTGCAGTCTCTTACATGTAATACAAGCGTTCAGTCATGTACCAGTAGGTAAAAGGTGTAAGAAGAGGGTAGGCATAACCCACTTGAATCAAATGTATGAAATATGATATGTCAAGAGCACTGTAATGTTTTGAACAAACAATAAAAAAATAAAATATAGAGAAATGTCAAAAAAAGAGGGTAGGTAAGTTCTGAGGAGATGAATGGTTAAGAAAAAAAGGTCATTGTTCTAAGCAGAGGTAGGTTAAGAGTAGACATGGCTTTTTTTTTTTTTGAAACTTTTCTTTGGCATGTGACCATTTTGTGTGGTATCCATGTCCAGAATTAGACACCTTGATTGAATATACAAGAAAGCAGTAGCAATATGAAGGGAGACACCGCAGGGCACTATACTTTGGCAAACAGCTGAACCTATGAAAACATCTCTACAAAGAGTTTCAACTTGAACCAAACATAATCTTGTGAAGCAAATTATACTTTTTCTGTACATTTCATTATATTAGAGAAATACTTCTCCAAGAGAAAATCCTCATCAAGCAGATGTGGAAACTTCCAGTAACAAACAACTGAGGTGCTTAAACAGGTGTGTGGGTGATAAACATAATCTTAAAGCAATTTTTTCACCTCCAGTCCAGGACTTCCTGTGTCATCAGTTATCCTGTCTTTCTAGGTCTTTTCCTTAGGCCTGACAGTTCATTGAGTTCTGAGAACTGGAGGGTTCTTATTTCCTTTTGTCTGGATCTGTATGGTTTTAGCTGCATGAGATCATCTCTCATCAGCAAGTACTACCATTTTTAGGTAGAATATATGCCATTTCCTTATGTAAAAAATCCTCCAGTCCCCAGTTCACTAATTCATCAATAATCCATTAAGGTCCCAGGTTTTCAATTCTGTGAATATTTCAATGAAATTGACCCAGGTGCAATAGAATGAAAAATCATAACTAAGAGCCTTTTTTGTATATCCTTTGTATATTTCATGTGTATGAAATATTTTCTAATGTTCTAATCATTTGCCTATTTTCTCAAGCCAATAAAACTCTAAAAACATTTCAAAGTAATCATAAGTGGTATACTTGTTGCTTAATTTAAGTTTTCCATAGGTATTCCACATGGGGGATGCTGGAACAAAAAGGGTCAGGTTAAATTTTGAATCTTAATAATTTTACATTCAGGAATGCCTCTATTCATATGATAGCATCTGTGTCATTACTAAGTTATGACAACTGGACAATTTATTTCCCAAACTGGTCTTTTGCTTTTTCCTTTCCCCAGCTTTGTGTGCAACTTTGGCTCAGGAGTTTATTCCATGGAGATTTTTTTCAGCATCCTTATTTCTAGGAAAGAATTATAATTTTTTTCCCCAAGAATGCTGACCAGCTTATAGTGGTATGATTATAGTTTCACCACTGTGCTATTTAGGGTCACTTATTTCTAAGGATATTATTTCTAAGGATATGATGATCGAAAGGTCTCAAGGGGATAAGGACAGGAAAATTTCATCCCTCCACATTAAATCACAGATGTTAGAAAATAAAGCATAAATCTTATGTATAAACATTTGAATACTCAACCTATCATTGCTTTCTTTATAATACTTCCTTTGGAATATATGCTGATTAACCCATCTGACTGTTATTATTTAGTAGAGAAGTGGTCAGAAGGAGTGACACAGGAGAAGAAATCAGAACCAGAACGAACACCTGTAGTTTCCCAAGAACCTACACGGATGGAAAAATCCACGGACACAGAGGAGGATAATATATCTGCACCACAGTTTAGCAACAAGACCACCCAGTTTCCATCAATTAATACTGAGTGCCCACAGACTGAGGGGACAAGCGAAGCAGTTCGTGGTCCTTCTTCCAAACCAGTCACCCCCAAGACTACCACTCCACCCTCATCACCATCTCCAGCAGCTGTCTCAGCAGAGTTTGCCTATGTCCCAGCTGACCCAGCTCAGTTTGCCACTCAGATGTTAGGTAATGTTTCATCTATTCATTCTGATCAATCTGAAATTTTAATGGTGGACGTGGCAACAAGTATGCCTGTTCTTAACAAGGTACTGAAGTCAGAGATTGCTGAAGAAGTCGTGGGGACTGCTCCTCCGGAGTGTTCTGGAGAGCCAGTACAGGTAGATGAGGACTATGAGGCTGAACTACCAACGGCTTTCTCAATCCCCTTGCAGGCTGAACAACATCCTCCTGCTTATGATCAAGCTCCTAAGGTCCCTTTACAGGCTGATGATCGGGTTACAACAGCCCTTCGTATATCATCTATATATAACAATCAGCCTGTCGCTGAAGGAATTATCTATGTTGAGCAAATACCAGAACATATAGTTATCCCTTTTACTGATCAAGTTGCTTGTCTGAAAGGAAATGGGCAATTACCATCAGTTAGTCCCAAACCTGTGCAGTTGAAGGAGGATGAAAATTTTGACTCCTCAATAAATATGGAGGCAGAAGCTACCTTTCTGCTCTCCGACAGCTATTTGGAAGGTTACCCTAAGGGACCTGCAGAATCCCTGGATGCAGAGGGCTTTATCAAAATAGGCACTGAACAATCTCTGCATGTTGAAGTGGAGATCACTTCCAGAGACTTTGGGCAGCAGACGTCACTGGAGAACTTGCCCTCGGGGTACACTGCAGAAGTGTAAGAAATCTAGTGGCCCCTTCCCTCGTATTCCAGAAGGTCTTACTCAGCCAGAAACCGAACTCGAGGGGGAAGCAGTACCTGAACAGGTTTGATGAGGCCAGGTAAGAAAATCAGATGCTTACATATTTACACATTGCGTTTCAGGTGACATCTGTATCACAAGAAACCATCTAGGTAGGCTCCCTGCAGATTGGTCACAGGCTTTATTTTCGGTAGGGTTTTAAATGCCAAACCTACCTAAAGGCTTTGCTGTGTTTGAGATTTTACTTTTATGAGATGAGTGATTTTTAATGCAACATCCTTAAAGTTTGGTCATCCAGTAATTTTGTGTCCTTTTGGAAACATGTTGTGAACATCAGAACCTGTTAGATACAAAAATATATTTACGCCACCAGAATAATATTATTGCAAAACTGCAATTTGGGGTGTTGGTTTGAAATTTCTCACTTGTGAATGTAAAATCAAACTGCAGCATTGCATTTACATGGGTTGTGGCATTTAAAACATGCAAGAAATGGTGGTGTGTTTGATTCTGCTTTCGCACCGAGAGCTCTGCAACAGGTCTGGGTGCTGGGTCTGGAGCTTCCTGCAGCTGAAGGAGCAGCTTCATAGCTGGATGGGGAGAGGAAAGGTTAGGTCGAACTTCTGTCACACATGAGAGCAGGAAGGTAGCAACAGCGGGAAGGATGGCCAGGCACTGCAGCAATAGTAGACTCAGTTCCCGTGACTGGTTTATTTCAACCAGTTCACCCAGACCAGTGCCAAATTGAAGCTTTCATAGCTCCTGAACTGCCACCTATGTTTTCTTGTGACAGACGTGATATGACCTCCATCTCAATAATGGCATTTATTCTGCCACCTTTCTGCCCCATCTGGAAACTTTCAGAGGCTCTTCTCTCTGGAGCAATGGAAGGATGCACATGAGCCAGTCTCCCCATCCCTTTTGCAGAAACTCTCAGCTCTTGACTGACTTGAGTCAGAAAAATAAGGGTTACCAAAGCAGGTGTTTAGCAAAGGTCAATTCTGTCTGGCTGTGTGACAGGGATTCAGAACAGCTGAAAAGGCAGAGGGCAAGACTGGAAGTGTAGCCTGTGGTGCTGGCATTATTCTTGTGACTTAAGCACAGCTTCAAACCTTGTCACTGTTTTCTAAAGTAAAACAGTTGTCCTGAGCGCTAAAAAAACATAGATTGAGTTCTCCAATTCTCTCCCACTTAAAAAAAACTGAAAACTTGGCTTGTTACATATATTTTAATAAGCTTGAAGATCAGTTTAAAGTATCTGATGCTGACAAAACCCATCAGCTTAATCATGTGCATTGTGGTCTTTTCTGGGGCAAGTAAAGAAGGCTGCACCAGGAACAGATGGCCCAGAGTTCAAAAGGTAAACTTGGCACATCTGGAAAAGTGAAACTCTCCTCTACAAGGAACTTGTTTCCCCAAGGTCCCATCTTCTGGGATTCAGCTTTCCAAAACAGCACTGTCGTCTTCATTAGGCAAGTCACACTTGGCATTACAGATTGTTACGAGTCAATAAATGGCATTCCTAGACCTGTTCTTAAAGAACCCCTGTTGGACCAACCAGTCCTTCATTGCCACCTAGGGTCTCTGGTACAGCCTTGCCTAAAAAAGAGCTCTCTGAGGTTCTGAGTCCTAGATTATATGATGATTTATGTGTGGCAGGAGATATTGGATTAAGTGATCAAAATGAAATATTGTGACTTATTCAGGAAAGAAAAAAAAATCACTATGCAGATGCATTAACACTCTTCCCTACCCAAAGGCTGTTGAGTCAGTTTTACTGACTCTTTACTCTGAGGACTCAATAAAAGCTATGACTATAGTTTCAGAATCTGGAAACAGCAACTTAGAATGAAACTGCTGCTTTAGCCACAACTCTAGTGTCCCTGCCACTTGGTATCACAACACTGTCGTCCTTCTTTTCCAACTGTACTGAAAGGCTCTTTTCTTTCACATTACCAGACACTATAGCCCTCTCTATAGCACGCTTTATGGCACATATTAATTAGCTATTTGTTTATATTTTAAAAAAAGATTTATAAAGACATTACTGTGCATAGCGCCTGATACAGAGACCAAAAGTTTAATGCCTGCAAATTTTTTTTTTTTATAGCACTAGCAACAAGCGAAGCAGGACAACCACCACCATATTCTAACATGTGGACCCTTTACTGTCTAACTGATATGAATCAACAAAGTCGCCCATCACCGCCACCAGCACCTGGGCCTTTTCCCCAAGCAACCCTCTATTTATCTAATCCTAAGGATCCACAGTTTCTGCAGAATCCACCGCAAGTTACTTCTCCAACTTATGTGATGATGGAGGACACCAAGAAGACCAGTGCCCCACCTTTTATTTTAGTAGGCTCAAATGTTCAGGAAGCACAGGATTGGAAACCTCTTCCTGGACATGCTGTTGTCTCACAGTCAGATGGCATGAAGAGATATGCTGCAGTACAAGTACCCATTGCTATTCCTGCAGATCAGAAATTCCAGAAACATACCCTAAATCCCCCAAATGCTAGTCCTCCTTCAAGTGGAAAAGATGTCCCCAGACCACAAAGCCCAGTTTTTCTTTCTGTTGCTTTCCCAGTAGAAGATGTAGCTAAAAAAGGTACAGGATCTGGTGACAAACGTTCTCCCTTTGGAAGTTATGGTATTGCTGGAGAGATTACTGTGACTACTGCCCATGTTCGCAGAGCAGAAACTAAAAACTGGTAGGTAAATTTCCCTACCATAATATGTGGGCCTTAACACTAGAGTTTCCAGCATTCTGTTGACCTAGAGATTGAGATTCTTAAACTGAATTGATACATGAGTTGGGCTTGGCATGGTGGTCCAGACCTTGTAATCCAGACCTTGTAATCCTGACTACTCAGGAAACTGAGGTAGGAGGATCACAAGTTTGAGGCCACTCTGGAAAAAAAAAAAATGGTGTACCACCATGTAGTTGTCTCCAGCTGCCTCAACCACTGCTTATTAGTAAATGCCCAACACATGAACCATTGGGTTGGAATTTTTTTTTAAAGGACAAGATAAACCTAGTTGGTATGTTTTAGAGACAAGATGAGTTCAGAGAAGTGCTGATCAGTACCCCCCTTAAGAGAGAGAGAGGCTGGAGACACTGAACAGCTAAGAGACAACGAGACAGGTCTTCACATTAAGCTCAGGTTAAATGAAAAATTGATTTGTAAAAACAGTCTTGTTCTTTTCATTTAACCTGAACTTAATGTGAAGACCTATGTAACCCCTCCTCCCTGATGTGTGAGCAAAACCTAGAACCTATACCTTAAGGAGACAGAAATGTTGGGTCCCCTATGTCAGTGTGACTGTTTTTTACCATGAAATGCTAAGAGATGGAAAAGCACAGGTATTGGTTAGTTAAGAGCTTAGTAACACAGCAGGAGAGCAGACCTTACAATTAAATGTTTACATTATCCCTGACAGATGCCGAAAATGACGCTGTTTTGAGTCAACGTTCAAGGTGGAGTCTGCCACCAAGCGTTATATCAATAAACTTCCTGCAAGCATTAAACCTTGTATTCACATTTTTTACTCTTTTGCAACTCTTACAGGTCCAACAGGCATTCCATATTCACAAAAACAACAACACCTCTCTTAATATAGCACTCAGCTGCCCCCATACCACTGTGCATGCTAGGTGGTGGGTTGTTTGGCCTTGGTGAAAGGATACCATTAAGGGGCAGCATTAGTATATTTGTTTTAAAAGGAATCACACTTTTGGAACATTCTGAAGTCTTTTATTAGCATCAGATTATTTCGTTATAACACTTGTTAACTTTTAAGATGCAGTTAAAATAATTTACTGGCAGCTACCTAAGGCCCCTTGGATCAGTATCTCAGTCTGGGGTTTGGATAAATACTATAAGATTAATGTACCCCAATTAAAGGGGCAAAACTACTGTACAGTAGGTCTCCATACATATTTTAAGTACACAGGTACCTTGCAAATTTGAAATGCACAAGACCTCCTTTTATATAGTTTGTTACTTATAATACATGAGTGCAGCTTAAATTCTCTGGTGGCAGTGGCCACTGGAAGTTGCACTTAAAAAGGTTTTGTCATTATGTAATGGTGATTAAAATCTATGTCTAGGGATTTTTGTGACTTGCTAGATTTTTATTTTATACATATTTTCAGTTCAAACATACAATTTAAACATCTCTAATGACAATGATTACAGAAAAAAAAATCAGAGCACTAAAATAAGTAAATAAAGTACCTTTTCCAGTTTAGAATTTTCAAATCAGGAATACCTATTCTGAATATTCAGGCATTGTTTTTTTCTTTTTGGAGATGGGAAGGGATAAAGTTGAAAGGATTAATATGAATAAAAGCCATCTTACCAATTTTTATAAAATGACAACCTCTATATTTGAGCACATAAACATTGTATAGGAGAATTCTAAACATTTCAAAGTTATGTCTAAAACATTCAAGCATGACAGCATAAAAATATTCAAAATAACTTGATTTGGGATTATGATATATTCCATAAAGCTAAAGTTACATTTACATATAAACCTTCAGTAAATATGGCAATAGCAACCAGAAAAAGCATCTTCTCCAGCAGTTTCTCTTACCTCTTTATAAAATAGTATTCCAAATAAGTATGTTTGGATAGCAAAATTACTATGCATTTTTCCTAAGACTCACCACCATTATCACTGTATGCCCTATTTTTCTTGGGTAAAATACAAGTTATGAGGTTTTTTTTTTTAAGATGAGTAGAAACCAAGGGAAAAAATTTAAAAACATAGGTTTAAGACTTATTTATAGATTAGCCAAACACCCTGACTTGTCTACATTTTAATAAATGTCAGGCAAATTGAAGTAGTTTCTGTCCCAGTAGCTGCCAGAGTAAATCCAATCCTGTGCTCCATTGTAGGGATTAGGACCTTGATGGAACCACCTGTTTAAAGAGAAAGGACAAAATTTAGAGGGGAAATAGTCTGACATCGCAGGGTATCTGTGGCTTCATTAGCTTGCAGTACTATTTCCCTATTGTAGAATTTCTTGCACTGTGAGAGGGCTTTACACAGAGATGGCTGAAGATGTGATGCTATTTTGCTCCTAGGGGAACACATGCAGAATATTTCAAAAGAGGTAATAAGATCTTGCAAAAGAGTTACAATCCACAACAATCAGTAGTGCAATTCTACTACACTGAAGTAGGATCTAATAGGGTTGTTAGAAAGTGTTTTTGGGTTTTTTTTGTATTGAGGAATTGAACCCAGGAGAGCTTCACTGAGCTACACCCATGATCCTTTTTAGTTTTTCTTTTGAGACAGGGTCTTGCTAAAATGCAAAACTGGCCTCCAACTTGCATCATACTGCCTCACCCTCCTAAGCAGCTAGTATTACAGGCCCAGCTAGAAAGTCTTTTTGTCTTACTGGTTCATCCTCTGATCCTGCTCCTTCCATTCGAAGGCACTCTTATAAGCAATCGCCAGGTAAGGAATTAGGATAAGGAAGTAAACTTTTCTAACACACCTAAGGCAATGTTGTGAGATGCCTGGTTCAGAGTCCAAATGCAAAGCTTCATTTTATTTTTTAGTTGTAGTTGGACACAATACCTTTATTTTGTTTATTGTTTTATGTGGTGCTGAGGATCGAATCCAGGGCCTCACATACACTAGGTGAATGCACTGCCACCGAGCCACAACCCTGGTCCCCGCCCCCTCAAAGCTTCACTTTAAACTGAATGTCAGAGCAGTTATAAAAATGCTAGCTGCCCAAGCTAGTAACTGGTAGCAGACGTAGGTTTGATTTTAAAGACCATGATTTCCCTAGTGTACTATGCTAAACACAATCCACTGAAGTTAGTCTAAATCTTCCTGGGCAAATTGCCTCAATGCAAATACATATTCTTAGGATACATTTAGCTTTTAACTTTTTAACCAGACCTGATTCTAGAAAGAACTGTCCTAATCATGCCCTTTTTTTCTTACCCATTTTATACACTATCAGCTTTCTATAAGATATGGAAATGTAAAACTACTTGCTCAAAAGATTCACAGTTTGTATAACATTTTATAAATACAATTTAGTTCCCAGCATGGCATTTATAAAAACAGTTTCCTACGTGTTTGCCAGTCTTTGCAAAAAGCAAAAAACAAAAAACAAAACAAAACAAAACAAAAAAAAACAACAAAAAACTGCTTCTACAAATATTTAAACAAGGGTGAAGTCAGACTTGTTTGGTGACTCTGGTATTACTATTATCAATATTAACAATAAAAACCCTAAAAGAAAAAAATGCTCTATATTAGGCTAATTCCTTTAAAGGATCCTACAGTAAATGTCCATGACACCAAATTCTTTAAATATTATATATATTATTTAACCTTGGGGACTTGTTTTTCTAATGAGAAGAATATTTTAAATGATTAAAATATGGGTCATTCAGACTTTAGATATATGTACGTTATTTACTATTATCCCCAATTTTTTAAAAATCTAATATAAAATACAAAGTTTATATTCCCTTGGGTTTCAAAAGTCCAAGCAGTAAAATTGCTTTGGTAGTCAGGCTTAGAAAAGCCCAAGCACATCAGTAGGCAAATCCAAATCAGGGTAAGCCAAAGTACCTTAAAAAGTTAAATCAAGCTCTAGCCTCATGCCGTTAGAGTACTTCCATACTTTAAAAAGGGGAAGTTGTCAAAGTTGTAACAAGACTTTTCACAGGATGGTATATTAATAGCAAAGGATGGTCACGTTCACAAACTTCTAGGAAAAGTTCTCCAAAGACTATGTTTCAATCCTACCTTTAGGGTTTTCCTGTTGTTGGGAACAGTTTAGCCAGAACCCTGCGCTGAAGATGTGTCCCTCCAGAGTAACAGCCTGATGTTGGGGCCAGGGGGTCTTTCAACCTCCAGTTCTAATTCTGAGCACTTGTGTCTAGAAGGCCTTCTTCTGCTACAACACCCCTTCTTTCGCCTTCCCACAGAAAATTCTAAATCTTATACTTCAGAACTAAGTGTGGGCAAGAGGAAAGAGGAGGGAAAGATGCCCTGTAGTCCACAATGCCCAGGGGTCTATATCAGTAAAAGAACATTTATAAAAAATATTTCTGCACACCATACTCATACTATGGAAAGACTACCACCAATTTGGTAGTATCACCCTGCCCCTCTGCCATTCCTGTCTCTCCTACCAGTTCCTTGACCTCTTCCCCATGCCTTCCCTATTGAAGTCTGGGGGCTCCTCTAAGGAAATAAGCCAGGACCACAAGCAGCCACCCTCCTCAGCAGGACTCACATACATACAGCCTGAAAAACTGCAGCGTGAACTCTCTTCAAGTGAGCAAAAGGAACATTAGCAGGGATTCCAGATTTTAGTAAGGATAAATGTGGGTCACATTAAAGTGAGTTTTTGGGTTCATTTCAAGAAGAGAAGAAAATGCTCTTTGACAAAACTATTCTACCTACATTCAAACTGAGCCAAAGTGTTTTAAAACACGTGGTCAGTCCTGAAAATAGTAAGTGTAAAATCTCATCACCACCACTGGAAAGGAGCTCAAAGCATGGAATCTTGACGAAGCATAGGCAGGATTATTTCAAAGACCAATATGTTCATATAAAAACAGTGAGGCTGAGAGCCCTGTGGAAGCAACCAAGTGCAAGCCTCAAAATGACAGCTCTCCCACACAGCTCTAGTTTTTATTTTCAAACTTCTAATGAATTTTCTACAGATATTTGCTTTTGGAATGTTAAAGACTTTCATCTGATAGTAAAAATTCTTGGTGGATTTTTGCTTACATGATATAACTGAAAATGGGATCAGAAAAGGCGTTCTAGAAAAAAATATGTGATAAAGTATATCACATATTTTCAAAAGGGATCACAGCAAAGGGGCTTCATCTAAAGGACTAATGAAGGTGAAGGCTCTGATCTTGGATCTGCTGCTTAGCAGCTGTGTACCTTTGAACATGACTCCTAACTGAAATGAAATATACCATTGTTTGCTTTCCTCCAATACAAAGAAGGGAATTCTAGATAAGCAGTCTTTACACTGTATTCCAGAGTTCTAGGGTCCTGGGGTATGTGCAGATGGGAGAAAGTGAAGAGCGGCCCAGGTCCTACCCATCACAGCACCTTGGTTTGCATGTGTTCCTATCTGTAGAGTGAGTTTTCATTTGCAAAGAAGAGTCTCATGTTAACAAAAAAGAACAAAACCTACTGGATTAGACACCCAAGATCATTTCTAAAACTAAAATCTTTCTGTACCATGTAAAAAGATGACCAAATAATATCTTTTGGGATGCTTGAAAAATTATGCCCATATTAAATCTTAACATTTACTTAGTAACGCTGAATTATGTAGAAAATGTTTTTATGATATTCCTATTTATAAGTGATTTTACTACTCAACCCAAGTGACTAAATAACTCCTGATTTTAAAAAATCTTTCTACTCCTAAATGGAATACAATATGCTACTTTAAACCAATCCTACTACCTTTATGTGTCAAATCCCTTCTGTTTGAAAAGTAAAGGTACTGTCTAAATATCAATGATACATGATATACATATAAGCAAATGATCCTATAATTTCCTTGCATATATGAGCAAATAGCTGTTATTTTCATGCCAAAATATAATTCTGTATTTTACTTTCCCTTTATAATAAGGGACAGGGTTTGCTGGATAAGGAAGAAAATTAAGTTTAATGGGCCTTATCTATGATAATTGTATGGGAATATTTTAAATTTAATTTCCCAGTAGTCATTTTTCTTTGTCACATGAGCAATTCTTTTGGCTTTAATACTTAAATTCAAATGACTTTGAATAATATTTTGATAATAATTTGAACAATAATTAGTCTAACATATGAATATTTTTCATAGTAATTATGTTAAAATGTTTCAATGAAAAATTAGGTGGGAAAACTGAATAAATGTGGAATTATTCTAAGTTCTTAGTGAGACCTCACAGAGCTCCTTCAAGATTCCATCCTAAGGACAATGTAGCAGGGTCAGCAATTCACAGCATCTAAAACCACTGCTTCTTGTACACATAGCAGCCTGCCAGAGGGCTCAGTCACATACTGAAGATGGTACACACCTCGTCTTCCAGTCTTCTTCTGACTTGGACCTGTTTTTACGGGCTGCTCGTTGTTTTTCTTCAAGCCGTTTTTTTTCTTCACTAGCTTGGTCTAAAACAAGAACATTAAAGAAAAACATTTATTCTCTACACTAAGAATGCCAGGCACACGGATAAGCATCATAACTTTATGGAGAACCATTCTCTGTGTGTATTAGTGTTCTTGCCACTAAAATACAGCCATTGTCAAACATGAAGTTAAAATCTTACATACCCAGGCTAGGAAAGGTAGTGTTGGCACTCAAAATGCCTTCATGTCTTTTGATTGATTATGCCCTTAATAACCTCTGCATTTACCAAAACCCCTTGTTTATTCATAAAGCCAAAAAATTATGTTAAAATGTTTCAATGAAAGATTGGATGGAAAAACTATTTTAAATTCTTAGGGAGACCTTACAGAACTCATTCAAATTCTGTTCATAAAAAATTAAAACAATTTTCCAGAATGCTGATGCTCTGTCTCACTGGAGACAATCAGACTAGTTAAGACAGGGTTTCTCCCCCTTGTTACTACTGCCACATTGGATCCAATGATTCTTTACTGTCAGCAGCTGTCCTGTGCACGACAGGATTTTTAGCACCAGCCCTGGCCTCTAGATGCTACTTTCCCCAGATGTGACAAAGTTTCCAGATATTGCCATATGTTTCCTGGGGGATGGGAATTTTTCCCTTTTGAAGAACCACCATGTTAAAAGCAACACTTTAAAAATTATTTAAATAATTACCCAAGGGAAGTAATGTTCCCCCCTGCTCCCCCATCCCATATTGGGAATTGAACCAAGGTGTACTCTACTTGTGAGCTATTTCCCCACCCATTTTTATTTTGAGACAAGGTCTCACTAAGTTGCACAGGCTGGCCTGGCCCTTACAATCCTTCTGCCTTAGGTAGACACCAACCAAAAAAGAAACAAGTTGCTGGGACTACAGGCCCACACCACCCATGCCTGGCAGAAGCCATGCTCTGAGGCTTACAAGATGCTATGAGAATTATGAAATGTAATTAGAATACAACTCAAAGTTGACAAACATGCTAAATTTCTCTCTCTGAAATTTCAGACAATGCCTCTAGCCATGTGTAATATATTAAATGATTAGGGTGTGTGACTGAGTTTCAGTTAACAGAGTGTACTTCTAATTTTGAAATTTAAAAACAAGTTAAATTTAAATTTTAAATTTCCAAGAAAATGCCAATACCCCAATAATGCTAACAATCACCAGGAATTAAACAAATGACCATCCCCAGTGAACTGTACCAGTTATAGCAGTAGACACTTCTTACCTATTTCTCCATTCTCCATGGCTCTGATGTCAGGCCGTAACCTGCAGTCAGTCTTAGGAATCACGCTCTCCATTTCCTTGTCAACTTCATTCAAAACCATTGCAAAGCTGGTAAAATTATACATCTGACAAGAAGCAAAATGATTAAATTAACATATACCAAGGCATGATGACACCAAACAGAAAGCCCTGAAAGAGGCTGATTTGAAAGTGACCCCTTACTCCTTTCTCAGATCATGCCTAACAGTTTTCATTGACTCTGCACCATCTGTGGGTACTGGGGGTACTGGTCTCAAAGCAGACCTCACAATAACCTCTATCAACTTTCAGAACTATGGGCAACATCAACAGTCATCTTCCTTCACTCCTGGCTGGGTCTGGAAGGTTTACACTGACAGGCTTCATCAGCTTATATCTGACAGAGGCCAGCCTTATGCCTAAGTAACATAAAGAAGACCCACTGAGATCCCACCCTACATGTCTTCCAGCCAGCACCAGAGAGGGTGGATGATGACATGAGTGTGCTGGGCCTCTGGGTAAGGAGGAAAGCAGCACACAGGGGCCAGCAGGGAACAACTGATCATGTCTCCGTGTTGCCTGGGAAAGGGCATCCCCAAAGCTGGCTATAAACAATGTGGCCACATCCAGCAAGGCTGGTCTCACCTGGGCGGAATTTGGAGGCCGTGGGGCTATTCGCCACAGGAGAACACTTCCAGGGATAACAAATACACTTTCAGAATCTGGCATTGGCATTTCATCAGACTCTTCAGAAGTGCTCATCTAGAAAACCAGCAATGAGCAGCATTTAAGTAAGAAGTTTTAAGATATGTACATACACTTATGAATAATGAAATAAACACCATTTACTGCATACCACCAGAAAGTACACTGCAGGAGGGCAGAGACACCATGACTTTTTTTCCTTTTATTACTGCAAAAAGTTTTATTTTCATTTGGTCTGAGGCTTGGGAGAGGGTGCCAGGAATGCAGAGCATGCTCACGGTGCTGGCAGACTGGGCTCCAGGGTGAGCCTTTGAAAGAGCTGCTCTCCCAGCTGGCCGTGGGGGTAAAGACAGGTGGCCACCATCCTCCTCCAGAGCTCCACTGTCTCACCCAGGAAGTGGTTCTCCAGAAGTCAAAAAGATAGGGGGTCTGCATGGTCACAGCCCAGGGCATGAAGATACAAAGGAACCTGGTTTAGACCCTGGCACCAGAATTTTACTCATTCCTCTTGATAAGGCCTCTGCACATCCTTTCCCAGGAGATTCTCAGTATAGGAGACCTGCAGATGTAAACAGATCAGATGGCCGGCTGATGGGCCTCGACCTTGGTGGAATAATTCTGATGAATTTGGGAGGTCATGGTGGGTCAGCAATGAGGAACTAACCACAAAACATAGTGTAGGCTGTTCTAGGAGAAGATGGGAGATTGGATGGTCCTGGAGGTTGTGACTGGAAAGAAGAATGCAAGGTGTTTGCAGGTTGGAAGAGAGGGAGTGCTCAGGGGCCATTATATCCAAACACTGTTGAAGCAAGAGACAGATCTGCAAGACCGCCAGGTATCTGCAACACAGACTTTCTAACCCATATATATTCACCTTCTCACACCTGGGAAAGACCGAGCAAGTACTGTGTGTATGGAGCTGCGTGTGCTGCACGGTGTCATCTGCATCAAGGCACCATCAAGCAATCATCTGTACCACACCACATTATGTTTTTAAAACTTCTGATTTTTTTAAAGACAAAATAACTCATTTGATAATTACCATGAACCTTCTAAATGCTCAGCACTGGGATGCAGAACTACAAGAAATGCCTGACTTTTGAGGAACTTAATACACTGGAGACACAGCCAACATAGGCAACATTTTGAGAAAAATAAAACTTTACACATCCTGGGGCACTTAACTAAACTCATTAATGACACAAACCCAGTAGGGATCCTGAATGCATCTGATAAAGAGAGAGTTTAAAAAGATGTTAGGCTGAGAAGGAAACTAACATTTCCTTTGGCTACACACCCTGTGAGCCAGAGCTAGGTGCTCTGCTTATTCAGTCTTTATGTAACCGGCCCAGGAGGAGCTGATATTACCATAGTGGTATTCATAAAGAACTCACGGCTTTGGAAGGTTAGTTATATTCCTAACATCACAGTTAACAAATCTAAACCATGGATTGAGACACTTTCAGTGAAATCATGATTTAAAAAACAGACAAAATTGATGATAAAAGCTTCCCACAGCACATGTTCAGGAACCTCAGAAATCCATGGGAGATGGACAGGAAGGGGAGAGAGAGCAGATAAGAAAAGAAATGAATGTATGAAGGAAAACCACTGGTCTACAAAGACTCACTAGGGATTCAGGGAACATAGGGACGTTTTCTGGAGTTTTGCCAATGTCCTATGCTGTCCAAGCTCTGTAAAAGAGGGCTGTGTGCCAGTGAGGCTGTCTTCACTATGCTGCCTTCTAACTGGCAGGAGCATAGATAAGGAGTCTGGGTCAAAGGTTCCAGGATCCTGGGACATTTTCTTCTCCAGCCCCTTGGATTCCCTGACAATTGCAGTGAACAATTACGACACCTCACAGGATGAGGCAAGAGCAGGCAGGAACATAGGCTGTGAGAGAAGAGTGGAACCATGCACACAGGCCTAAAGGGAAATACTAAAAAAGCCAAAGCCATAGGAAAGCAGCAGGCTCTGGCCATTTAACAAACTCTTCATCTCAGAAAACAGCTCAATTTACAAAGAAAGTCACTAATAAATATAACTTCTGCTTTTGAGAATGTGAAGATTTTTTAAACTTTTGCATGCATAACAAACATGGGAAGAGCACCAGAGACAGTGATTTTGTAGGTCTAAGATGAGGCCCATGAGCCTGCATTTGTAACACACTCTCTCAGACAATATCAGTTCCAGGACGTACTTTCAGCAGAAAGAATTTCATCAATCTACTATGAGTAGGGACTGTTCTGAGTCTTTTATAACTGTTAACTCATCCAACTAGTAGGTGCTGTCCTGATCTGTGTTTCATAAATGAAGGTACTGAGGCAGAGAGATGTGAGCTTGCCATGCTCACAAATGATGGGAACTGGATTCCAACCCAGAGTCTGTGCCTAGACAATCAGGCTAGTTACCAGAAAGGAGTCAGTCCGCAACAAGTATTTCCTGGTCAAACAGGTGCACTCTTTCTTTAGCTCTCAACTGTTCTGACTAGAGGGTTGAGACAGGAGCCTGCTGCATGCTGGAGCCTGCCTGGGCCAGGCAGCAAGAAGCTAAGTGTCTTTGCCCATGGGAGATTCTATCAGGACACCAACTGACCCGCAAAGAGGCAAATTCAGAATGAAGAGCAGAGGAGTCCAATAATGGCACTGTTAGCCACCAAAGCCTTAACTTTAGTGACTGAACATAAGGAAGAAACCAACAAGACAGATAAACATGAAAACGTAAGAGATCATTTTGGAGGAAATTTTACTTATTCAAATAATTTCAACATCTAACCCACATAAGAAAATTTGTCTAAGGTGAGCTCCAATTTTCAAAAACTGTGAATTAAACCAAAGCCCCACACAGAACTGCTACACAGTTGTAAAAGTGGTACGCAGCCACATCTTATAGAAGATTATATTAAATATTTGCTACTAAGGCAGATATGTACTCATTTAAAAGAAGCAAGGAGAATAATTACATGCATTAGCAACACCAAAAAAGAAACATCAAACTGTGATCCAATAACAGGTCACTTCCAAAAGGATTAGTACCAATGTAAGAGTCCAGTTACTCCTTGATACCACCTTACGGGATGTTCACCTGTTTACTGTTCTTCTTCTCTTCAGTGTTTTTCTTATCATTTTTTTTGTAAGCATCAAAAGTGGCAGGGTCAACACTGTACAGACACTCAGTCCACTTCCCATAGAGAGCGCAGAGCTTCTTCTTACTGTGAAGAGAAATTGACATTTAGCCAACAAGCCAATATTTAACCAAATATTAAAATAAAGCATGAATCATTCTTTTAAGAAAACAGTTATCTCCTGTTTTCTATTTGTTAAAGTGTGAGCTTTTTAGTTTGTGACAGATTTTTTTTTGAGAGAGAAAGAGAGAGAGAGAGAGAGAGAGAGAGAGAGAGAGAGAGAGAGAGAGAATTTTTTAATATTTATTTTTCAGTTTTAGGCAGACACAACATCTTTATTTTATTTTTATGTGGTGCTGAGGATCGAAACCAGTTCCCCGTGGATGCCAGGCAAGTGCATTACCACTTGAGCCACATCCCCAGCCCCAGATTATAACAGATTTTAATACTGACTTCTAGTGAACAACATCTATGCTACTCAACATTTAAAATGAAATCTTACCTTTTATCTTGAATGTAGCCTTCAACTTTGTGTAATTCCTTACCAAAAAGGCCACATGGCTTAAAATTCAACACACATTTGTCCCCAGTCCTAGGAAGGAAATATTAAGTTCAGATTACCATTTAACAGTAGAGAACAGTGATTCTGTAATCTTTCTGGCAGTTAATTGCTGCTTACTGATTTTTTGTACAGGCCAGGCTCCATACAGATGATGATTAACGCTCCATCAGTACTATACCCATAAAGGAAAGGGACGTGAGGTTCATCAAGAATAAGAAACCTGCCTAAATTCATCAGGTAGGACTTGAACTGTTAAAGTAATTCTTATGCTGTTCCCACCTCACCCTTTGCTCCCCCATATAAAATAACACAAAATAAACAACATAAGAAAAATAAACAGATTGGAATTAAGATTCTCATGGGTTAAGGAAGCTCAGAGTTTATCCAGCTTTCTTAATCAGAATTTTTTTTTTTTTTTTTTTTTTGGTACCAGCCAATGAACCCAGGGGTGCTTAATCACTGGGCTACATTTCCAGTGCTTTTTATTTTTTATTTTGAGACAGGGTCTTGCTGAGTTGCTTAGGGTCTCACTAAGTTGGTGAGGCTGGCTTTGAACTTGTGACCCTTCTGCGTTAGCCTCTTGAGCCTCTGGGATTATAGGCATTTGCCACTGCACCTGGCTCTTAATCAGAAACTTCAGTGAACACTATCATTAAATGGATTGGTTCTATGCCCTTAAGGGTTAGTTACACTGCCTGATTTTGTTTTTGTTTTGAGGCAGGTTTTTACTATATTGTGTATGTTGCCCAGGCTGGTCTCGAACTCACGATTCTCTAGCCATAGCCCCCCAAGTAGCTGGAATTACTGACCAATATTGCTATCCTACTGCCTGATTCATACATCTTCATGAGCACTACTTAGCCTCCCTCTACCCTCTTTTTTAAAAATGAAACCCACTGGAATGGTTTGGTAGAAGCTGATGACACAGGTGAGTACCCTGAAGAGCCTTACTTGTGGTTTGTGATTTCCACATTGCCATACTGTTCGATCCAGAGTTTACCCACAATGATATTATGCACACAGCAGGTAGGATTTGTCCATGTATATGCTTCATTGTGCCTAAAAAACAAAACAAACCCACCGAAATAATGAGAAGTGTCATTTTGCTTAAAAGTGTATTTGCTTCAAATTCTTTTACTCAGGATTACAAATTAGGCTTCTTAAAAGGACAAAGTTTTAAGACTTTAAAAATTATTAATGTAACTGTAACACAAGTATCAACTGTCTATAATTCTTGTTTTAAAAGGAAACAAAGACATAAGAAAAACTTCCACCAAACTCTTAAGTATAAACTACATATGGGTTGAACATTCCTAGTCCAAAAATTGGAAATACAAAGTTGAGTGCCAACATAATGTTAAAAATGATTTAGATTTTGAAGCATTTCACATTTTGGACTTTCAAATTAGGGATACTCATCTAATAAAATCTACAAACATTTTGAAATACAAAAGACTCCAAAATCCAAAACACTTTGGGTTTAAGCATTTCAGGTAAGGAATGCTCAACCTGTATATAATCACTTTATGCACTCAAAAAACTGGTGAAACATATTAAAAAGTAAAATTAAATGGGAGGCAGAAAATAAACATGAGTCCAATTTGGCACATTCCACAACAGTAGCTGCCAGCTCACCAAAAGAAAAACTCACTGAAGTGAATAGACTACAATTTTACACATCCATTGCTTTTGAAAAAAACATCTTTGTACGTGTACCCTTAGGTACTGTGTTTTTAAATTTTATTTTTAATTTATGTATGGAAAAATATTTTTTTGGAATTTTTTTGCAAAACAATTTCTGTGTCCTGTTCTATGAGTTTAATACATACAGAGATCTATGTAATTACCACCAACACAATCAGAATATGGAGCAACTCCATCACCGTCCCAAAATTTGCTCATACTTCTTCCCAAAATTTGCTCATACTTCCCTTATGCAGTCAGACCTTCCTCTATTCCTAATCCTCAAATCCCTAATCCCATCCTGAATCCCTAAACATCTTACCTGTTCTGTAAAAAAATAGTTTTATATTTTTCAGAATGTTGCATAAATAAAATGATATAGTACATAATCTTTTAAGTTTAGCTTCTTCAATTTGTAGAATGCACTGGAAATTCAGTTATGTTCTTCTATGTATTGATAATTCATCCTTTTCATTGCTGAGTAATATTCCATTCTATGAATATGCCATAGTTTAACCATACACCCAGTGAAGGGCATTTAAGTGGTATTTGGATTTTGGTGATTATAAATAATGTTACTGTACAAGATTGTACAGAGGTTTTGGTATGTACATATTTTTTTCTTTTCTCTAAGATAGGAGTACTGAATCATGTGGTAACCATATGGCTAACTTTATACAAAATCACCAAAGTGTTCTCCAGAGTCTCTCTACCATTTTACATTTCCCACCAATAATATATGAGATTTCTAGTTTGCCCTACATCCTTGTCAGCACTTTTTTTTTGTATAACTTTTATTCATTTTATTTTTATGTGGTGCTGAGGATGGAACTCAGGGCCTTGCATGTTCAAGGTGATCTTTCTACTGCTGAGCCACAACCCCAGCCCTTGTCAGCACTTTTTACTGTGAGTTCATTAAATTATTTTGTCTTTAGCCAGTCTGATAGCTGTGTCTTGGTATCTCATTGTGTCTTTAATTTGTATTTCTCTAATAATTAATGCTATTGAGCACCTTTTCACATGCTAATTTGGTATATCCACATCTAATGGTAAAACATCTCTTCACATCTTTTGCCCAATCTCATTCTGTGTCATTTCTTATTTAAATTTTTTAGTTGTAGATGGACACAATATTTATATTTTTATTTATTTTTATGTGGTGCTGAGGATTAAACCCAGTGCCTCAGGCTTGTGAGGTAAGCACTCTACCACTGGGCTACAACCCCAGCCCACCATTCTGTGTTATTTCTTATTGTTGAGTTTTCAGTTCTTTATATATTCTGGATATAAATCCTTTGTTTCATATATGATTTGTAAGTAATTGTGACTGGTCTATAACTTTTTTAATAGTATGAATAGTTTTCTTTACAGAGCAAAAGTTTTAAATTTTGATCAATTTTATGGATTGTGCTTTTGATACTGTATCTATATGCGAGGTCTGCAAAATCCAAAGTCATGAGATTTTTTTTCTTCCCAAAGCATTTTATTTTATGTTTTATTTTAGAGTATGATCTACTTTGAATTTAAAGTGTGAAGGATAGCTGAGGTTCATTATTAACATAGAGATGAACACTGGTCCCCATACATTTTGTGGAAATGACCACCTTTCTTACTTGCATCGTCCTTACACCTTTGTGAAAAATCAACTGACCGTATTTCTGTGAGGTCAATTTCTGGACTCTTCTCTGTTCCACTAATGTATGTGGCCAGCCCTTTTGCCAATACCACAAAGTCTGGGTTATGATAGTTTTAACATCTTCAAATTGGGTACTGGGAGTCTATCAATGCTGTTTTCCCTTTTCAAAACTGTTTTGGCCGTGCTATTTTATTTGCCTTTCCATATAAAATTAGAATATATTTCTCTGTATCTATTAAAATCATCAAGAGATTTTGATTTGGTTGTGCTAATAAAGACTGCTTACAGACCAACCAGGGAGAACTGATACCTTAACTAGACTGAGGCTTCTGAATACAGTGAGATGCAATACCCCTCCCCATCACTCTGGTACCCTTTAATGACCTTCATCAGGATCTTGTAGTTTTCAGCTACTCAGTCTACATATTTCATTATTACCACTGTGCTGCTGACTTTTCCTGGTTACTCTATTTCCAGTAATGTATGTTTCATTACTAAAATTTCCAGAAATACTTCTATTCTTTGCAGGCATGTCTTTCAATTTCTTCATCTGAGAATGTTCACCTTTACCTCAGGGAGCACACTTATAACTGCTGCTTTAAAGTTTCTGATGCAAATTTCAATATCTGGGTTGTTATGGGGTTAGTTAGGAGACTGTCTTTTTCACTGTGAGTTGTTAAGGTTTTTCTGTTTCTTGGTATGCCAATACTTTTGGACTGTATTCTGGACTCTTGAATTTTATGAGAATCAGTGTCCTCTTAACCTTTTCTGGAGAAGATTATTTTGATTTGTCATAATAGGCAATTAACATAGTTTCACGCTACAAGTCCTGACCATTTTTCTGTAGTCTTTGATTGCAGTGTTAGTTTAATCTTCAAAGCCTTTTGGTGTTATTCAGATTCGTTCCTCAGTAGCCATCCAGGGCTTTGGGCCTGAGGCCACACCAGTGTTCAGAACTTGAGGCCATAAGTGAGCCCGTTTCCGGTCATTTCAATGCATGAGTGTAAGGATGGGCTTAGAAATCCACCCACAGGCTTTCAAGATTTCTGTGTGAAGCTCCCTCCTCTCTGTGCTTTTAGCTCCACTCTTAGCGACCAGGGATCCTTTCCTCTGTCTGGCAAGCTGGGGTTGGAGCCTCTATTCTATCTCTGCTTCCCACAATGAGGCCTTCTTCTTGGGCTAAGAGGCAAGAGAAAAGAAGTAACAAGGATTCCCTTCACTCTTTGGACAGGCTCCCTTCATCCAGTTCCTGTGGCCAAGGAGAACTTCCGCTGAGTTTTCTGAACTGGTGTGGCTGATGCTGCCACTGCCACTTCAGGACAGCAGATGTGTGCCCTGCGGCTTGTTGTGGAACAACAGAATGTTCCTGTCTCTCTCTATCTGCAAGGGATCTTTCTAGGGCCTCTAATTAGAAAGAGAGAGTTTCTCTTGAAACTCTGTCTGCCTGCATTGCCCCATTTTGCGACTTGCTGCATTGACAGTAAGCCAGGAAAAATGGGAAGAATCTCACTGCCATGTTGGTCTTTGAGATTTGATTTCTTTTCTCCATTTGTTTATCTTTATTCACATTCAGAGTCCTTGAACATTGCTTTTTGCCTTCAGTCCAGGGTTTCCAGTGGTAATCAGGGAGAGGGCAGAGCTCACTTACTCTGCCTTTACTGAATATTTCTTCGAATTTAAAGCTAATCTTGCACAAGAATAGAACTCCTAACTTAACTAATAGGTAATAAGTGCCACACAATTGTATTTCATTATTTCTCAAAGTGAATTCATTTTGAAAGGTCTTTAAATAAAAGATTGGCAGCATAATACGTAGACAGCTAGTTTCATAAGAACTGCCAAGGAATGATTAATCCCATCGGTCTTTATAAACGACCCAAACACCATTGTCGAACATTAAGTTAAACTTTTTAGATACACCCAGATTGACTAACAAATTCTTTTACATAGAGGCAGATAGTTTACCATTATAAATATTGTTACATTTTCTCCAGCTTTTGAACATTAAGGTGAGATCTGTGTACGTGTGTGTACGCTTACGAGTAGGTATGCATGAAACGAGTTGAATGTTTGATCAGAACTTACTCAAGGAGCTCCAAGGTGATGGTTCCTTTGGGCTCTGCTTCTACACTCTTCCCCCAGAACTTTAGTTTGGGATAGATTGAGCCATGAAAGATGAAATCGTTGTTTAACCCTTCTGCATGAAATGCACTGATTGGTGGGTGATGGCTGACCTGTTCAGAAATGAGTCTAAATCCAAGATCATCTCTTTAAAAAAAAAAGAAAGGACAACTTTGTAATTATTCTATCATCTAATGTCTACATTACTGTCATTTCAGTCAAAAAAGCCATTAAAATATTGAAGAAACAGGCTTGACAAAGTATATAATTCTTTATCATCATCCTGATGAAAGAACAACTTAACACGAGGAATGGTACAACTGTACACATGCACAGAAACTACTAAAGTTGTTGCAAATGTAATGCTAGTTACTTGAAATAAAGGATACTCACACAAATTTGGGTGATTTATATGAAATGGAAGTATTATGCATGTACACTTAAAATTTATCAATTCTTTCACCTTAATGTAGAGATATACAGTGTCTCTACTTTCCAACATCTAAGGAATAAATTTTAGGCAAAGAAAAGGAAGATGATACAAGAAAACCACATAAATTTCCATGATTAAACAAAACCCAGGCGAGTGCAGGCAAACAGAACTGCACTTGAAGATACATTCCCTGCCTTTAAGGCAACAGTACTGCATGAAATCATGCTAATATAATTTATATGATTATATATTTTAAAAACATGATCATGCCTTATAACTACATTTTAAAAAGAGAGAATCACTAATCTCATGTGATCAGGAACATAAAAATCCTCACAATTACTTTTTATGAATGTACATTTAATATCCATTTCAGTATTTTTGAGATAGTAAAATAAGTTTCATAGAAACAAACATCAGAATTGTTAATTTGTCCCAGTCATACAGAATTATATACAATAGTGCTCAAAATATTCATCTTTCTTCTTTATTGAAAAGCCACGGTAATCACGCAAATTCAACTATCGGTCCAGAATGGAATGGAAGACCTCACCGAACTAATTCATACGTCTCTCCCAGAAGCGGGTTGAAGGGCTTTCCAGTGCGTTCCCACTGAGAAGCGACAGCAGACACGGCAAATGCAGCTACACACTGTGGGACAGAGCATCACACCAGTTAAAAATAGCCCAGCCTGCTCTCATGCAGGAACTGAAATTGTGCTGAACACAGTAACTAACAAAATTATTTTGAGGAGTTTCATTATTCTGGGTTTTTAATAAGGCTCTAGAAATTTAATATGGAAACTTGGATATTCAGAATAAAAATTACTGAGTCTCTTCCTATAGTGTCATTCGCAAATGTGGTTAACACCCTAAGAGTGCTACAAATTCTCTCAAGGACTTTTTTACAATCTTTCAAACCCAGTTAATTTTAATACCGATACACATTTTTAAAAGTACATCTGTCCCTCAATATCTGAGGGGTACTGGTTCCAGGAACCTGCTTGGATACCAAAATGTGTAGATGCTCAAGTCTTTCATATAAAATGGCACAGTATTTACGTATCACTAACACCCCCAATCATCTCTAGATGATTATGACATCCCAAACAATGTAAATAGCTAATATACTACATTGTTTATGAAATAACAACAAAAAAGAGGCCTGTACATATTCAGATTTTTATCTTCAAATACTTTGGATCTGAGGTTGACTGAATCTGGGGATGCAGAACTCATGAATTTAGATGGGTGACCGTACAACACTTTTAGAAATGAGGAAAGAGAGATGTAAAATAAACATTTAATTTGTGTCAAAGGTGATAAGGTTAGGAAATGTTGATTTATATAAAGGAAAGAACAGAAAGATTCAGTTCAGAATACTATGGCTTTGTTTGAAGGACAAGAAGGTGTCTACTGTATTCTCTGCCTGTATTTCTTTTTTTTCCAATTAATTTTTTTGTTTATATGACAGCGAAATGCATTACAATTCTTATTACACTTACAGAGCACAGTTTTTCGTATCTATAGTTGTACCCAAAGTATATTCACACCAATTCATAAATGTCTTCATACATGTACTCTGGATAATGATGTCCATCACATTCCACCATCATTTCTAACCCCATGACCCCTCCCTTCCCCTCCCACCCCTCTGCCCTATCTAGAGTTCATCTATTCCTCCCATGCTCCCCCTTCCTACCCAATTATGAATCAGCCTCCTTATATCAGAGAAAACATTTGGCATTTGGTTTTTTGAGATTGGCTAACTTCACTTAGCATTACTTTCTCTAACTCCATCCGTTTACCTGCAAATGCCATGATTTTATTCTCTTTTATTGCTGAGTAATATTCCATTGTGTATATATGCCATATTTTTTTATCCATTCATCTATTGAAGGGCATCTAGGGGGTTCCACAGTTTAGCTATTGTGAATTGTGCTGCTATAAACATTGATGTGGCTGTGTCCCTGTAGTATGCTATTTTTAAGTCCTTTGGGGATAGACCGAGGAGAGGGAGAGCTGGATCAGATGGTGGTTCCATTCCCAATTTTCCAAAATACAGCACTAATATCTAGGGTTTCTAAAGAACTCAAAAAGCTAAGCACCAAAAAAACAAATACCCCAATCAATAAATGGGCCAAGGACCTGAACAGACACTTCTCAGAAGATGATATACAATCAATCAACAGATATATGAAAAAGTGTTCATCAACCATAGCAATTAGAAAAATGCAAATCAAAACTACTCTAAGACTTCATCTCACTCCAGTCAGAATGGCAGCTATAATGAAGACAAACAACAATAAGTGTTGGTGAGGGTATGGGGGAAAAGGCACACTCATACACTGTTGGTGGGACTGCAAATTGGTACAGCCAATATGGAAATATACGGAAATTTCTTGGAAAATTGGATATGGAACCACCATCTGCATATGTTTCTTAACCACCCATATGTATCACATAAACATCTTCTATTTAAAAGAAAACTTGAAAGTTCAGTTCCTAGGTTGGGAACATAGTTTAGTGGTGGAGCACTTGCCTAATATATAAGAGGCCTTGGATTCCATCCCCAGCACTGGGGTGGGGGAGTTTGGGGGAGGTGTTTCAATTCCTTGCCTTATTTTGTATATATACACATATGCATAAAATTATAAATATATGGCATGTTTATGTATTCCTCCCTCTTAGAAGCTCTTTAAAAAGGCATGAAAGAATAATGTTGGATTTTGTCATCCTAACAAAATGCTACTTTCTAACTGGGTTCAGTGGCAAATGCCTGTAATCACAACAGCTCAGGAAGCTGAGGCAGGAGGATCACAAGTTCAAAGCCAGCCTCAGCAACTCAGCAAAGCCCAAGCAACTTAGTGAGATCCTGTCTATAAAAAAATTTATATATACACACACACACACACACACACACACACACACACACACACTCACATAGGGCTGGGGATGTGGCTCAGTGGTTAAGCACTCTTTGGTTCAAACCCCCCACAAAAAATAAAAACCACAAATAAATAAATAAACAAACCACACACACACACACACACACACACACACACACACACACACAAATGCTACTTTCTAAAATGAAGACCCAGAAACAGCTTCCCAAACCAGATGTGGTTGTGACCACCTTCTGTTTCTCTTGAAATTCCCATTGGTCTTTCATTATTGTAGAACATACTAGAGGACAGGCAGTATGGAAGGGACACAGAGGACTCTTCAAATATGGTGGTTAAGATTTGAGAACATTTCCCAAGTGGGGAAATGTGCATGTGTGGTGTAGGATTGAGGAAAGGAGGAGGGAGGCAAGTCTCTAAGATTTAAGCCTTTTCCAATGCTTGACACATACCTGCATCCTTTCCACAGGATCAGAAAATGAACTGGCCTTGTGGATGAGGTAAGTATGCTCCATATACTCAGTTAGTCGTTGTAGGAAGCTCAAAGGCTCATTAAATATAACTGGCATCGTAATCTTGGATAGTTCCTGTTTAATGAGAAAAGTGAAACTGTTATGTACAATATGTACAGCAAACTTACCTGCTTAAGTGTTTATATAACACATTCCTGGAGAGGAACAGAAAGTCCAACCCATGCAATTTAACCAATGACAGTTTAATTTCACAAATCTTTCCAGAGCACCTTATGACATGGAGAATACTTAACAGCTAACAGAAATACAAAGACTACCCAGACATTCTCCTTGGGCTGCAGTGTATGCAACTATGGTCCCAGCAATTTACATGACCAAGGCAGGAGGATTCAAGTTTGAGGCCAGCTCCAGCAACTTAGGGAGACCCTATCTCAAGATAAAAAGTACAAAGGGCTGGGGATATAATTCAGTGGTGGAGCACGCCTGGGTTTAACCCCCAGTACAAATAAGCAAACATTCTCCTTGGTTCACAGAGCGCACTATCTAGTGATGAACATGAACTGATGACTAGTAAAAAGCCTGCCTTATACCAGAACTGACTGATGGTGATGGGGACACAAAAGGCAAAATTCTTCATATAGATAGTAATTAATAAGGGGGTCATGAAGCTGAGGTCACTCCAGTGCCTTGGGTTCCTACATAGGCAAACTGAAACCCAATTCAATATAAACTTAGGATTTAATGAATCTGAAATTGCCTATGAATCTGAAATTGCCAAACTAACTTTGGGTTAGCAATGTTGCATTTTAGAATCAAATCTATTTTCTCTGTTTTGTTTCCTCAAAGAACATTTTGTAAAAACTTCCTCCCACTCCCTGGGTGGAGTGCTGTACCACTTGAAGCCTAGGGTACCTGTGTTATGAATCACTGTCTACTCAAATAAACTCATTAAGATTTCAGTATGCCTAAGTTCATCTTTTCGAAGTGGGCAAAGTATCAACCATCTAGGCCATTTTGTGAGTAATTTTCAGAATGAAATTTGAGACTGTTTTGGCAAATAATATTGGGCTTTTCTGAGCATGGCACTCTGGTATAACTGTGGAATAGGGTACTAAAAGATTATCTATATTTTACAGAATAGTTTTCAATTCTGTCTGTCCTTTTAATGACTGGGCAGGCAGCCAAACTGCAATCTTTCAACTCTATTCTCCATGGCTATTCTCTTCGCTTGGTATTCTCTGGAATATTTTGATGATCTTCCCAAACTTCTACCTATCACTATTTACCCTTCCTTAAGGAATCAGGTCTCTCAGGAAGCCTGTTGGCCAAATTCACTTGGTCACGTGAGCAGTCTTGAGGAGCAGTCCAGGCTGAATGCCACCTGACTCTGCTTTGACTTCCCCCATTAACATGCCCACATTCTTAATGATCTACACAAAAATGTGACCTTCACAAAACTGTAACCAACTACATTCAAAGAAAGTAAGCTCATTTGTTAAGATAAAAAAAACTGTAGAAAACAGCTAGCCAGGTAACCTAATTAAAAGAACTGGTAGATTTATTGCTGTGTTACTAAGGAGATGAAGGAGAACAGGAATTTATAAGGAGAAAAAGAAGGTTCAACTATACATACACACACACACACACACACACACACACACATACATACACACCCCCTAAGATCTCATCAAACCCAGATATTTGCTGTTGGGGACAAATCAAGAAAACTAGGATCACCAAGGCTTGCTTAAATGAAATGGTACAGGCTCTTTCTCGTCTACTGAAAAATTATCTATATTGCCCCCCCCTTTTTTTAAAGAACACAGAGGAATATATAACTTGTCACGTAAAACTTATAATATTAAAATATAAAATAAAATAAAATATAAAAATATAAAATAAAATAAATAAAATAAAAATATAAAATAACACAAAATAGCCTCTTCATGTCCCTTTCCCACTCCTCTCCCCAGAGATACAGCACCAGCAATAGTTTCCGATGCTCATGTATTTACATGCATTATATCTATGAGGGGACAGAGGAGGGGGAAAGAGAGAGAGCTTTGTTTATAAAAACATAGCATCAGCTCTGTTTGGAGGGGTGTCTTATTCACATGGAAGGCATGCACAATGAGTCTATGAAGTTCTTGATTAACTGCTGGATGGTACAATATTAAGACCACCAAACCAAACTAGTTCTACTGCTGCCTTCATTTATTAACGGTGTGATTTGGGGCAGGATCAGCCCTGTGCCAGTTTCTTCATCAATAACATGTACTAATATAATAGCATCTTCCAGAAATCATCACTGTAAGACTAATGTTTGCAAAGCACTTAGACCTCTACTGAGCATGCTAGTAAATGCTGTGATTGTTAAATTTATATATTTTTCAAAACATAGGGGCTGGGGTTGTGGCTCAGTGGTAGAGTGCTCGCCTAGCATGTGTGAGGCCCTGGGTTCAATCCTCAGCACCACATAAAAATAAATAAAATAAAGGTATTGTGTCCACCTACAACTAAAAAATAAATATTAAAAAAATAGGTAGATTTGGCTTTAAAGCAGATTTCTCTTTAGTGGAATTTCTAGGTCAAAGACATGCTCACTTAGATTTTTAGATACTACCAAGCTAAATGTGTTCCATGTTAGCTTTGCCAATTGATACTACTACTGTGTATATGTGTGTAAAATACTGGGGATTGACCTCAAAGACTCATGAATGCTAGGTAAGTGCTCTAAAACTGTGTTATATCTTTAGCCCAAGTCAGAACTTCCTTTGATATCAAAGATAAAGACATTAAAAGAGGTATACTACTTCCAGTCTGTTCAATCATGTTGTTATTAAACAAATATTTAATTGAATACCTACTATTTGCCAGGCACTGGATTATAAACCCCACCATAGCCACTCCTGGCCTGGAATGCCCTTCTTGCTTCCCTTAATTCCTCTATAACCCAGCCAGATTTCCAGGCCCAGTTCAAATCTTTCTTCTTCGAGTATTCATTATGATTTCCTAGTCCTTCCACTTCCTGGAGTGGTAGAATCTATTGCTCACAACCTAGCATTTGATCATATGTTAGACTATATTACCTACTGTTATGTCACGGGTACTATCCAGCTTGTCTAGCTAACTGTAAAGTAATACAATTCTAGCAGAAAGGGGTGGTATCTTATGCCTTGCCAAATCTTTATCACCTTAAGGAGAGAGTACATGCTGTTGGTGCACCTGGCCCAGATGCACATTTATATTCCCATTGCCCACCATACCTATTTCTTTCAGGCAGTCACCACACACCTTGGTGCCTCCCCTGGTGTTTTTTTTGGAGTACAAGCTCCCTGAAGACAAAAACAGTCAGTTTACTGATGTACACATTTTTAAAAAATATTTTTTTAGTTGTTGGTGGACCTTTACTTTTATTTATTTACTTTTTTAAAGAGAGAGAGAGAGAGAGAGAGAGAGAGAGAGAGAGAGAGAGAGAGAGAGAATTTTTTAAAATATTTATTTGTCGGTTTTCAGTGGACACAACATCTTTATTTTATTTTATGTGGTTCTGAGGATCGAACCCAGCACCTTGCACATGCCAGGCAAGTGCGTTACCGCTTGAGCCACATCCCCAGCCCAACCTTTATTTTTATCATTTATTTATATTTATATATAATTTATTTATATTTATTTATATGCTGAGAATTGAACCCAGTGCCTCACACATGCGAGGCAAGCACTCTACCACTGAGCCACAATCCTAGCCCTGATGCACAAATTTCTTTTTCTTTTTTTTTAAGTTGTAGTTGGACACAATGTCTTTATTTTATTTTTTTTATGTGATGCTGATGATCAAATCCAGCACCTCGCATGTACTAGGTGAGTGCTCTATTGCTGAGCCACAATCCCAGCCCTGATGAACAACTTTTAACATGGTGAAATTCTAAGTTAAAGAAGTAAGTTACTTGGGGATGTTATTTAGCACCAACAAGAAATGAACTATCAAGTCATGAAAAGACCTTGAAGAAACTTAAAGGCTATACACCCCATGGTTCCAGCTATATGACATTCTGGAAAAGGCAAAACTGAAAATAGTGGGAAAAAAAATCAGTGGTTACTAACTGTTATAGGGCTGGAGGAATAAACAGGTGAAGCACAGAGGATTTTAAGACAGTGAAAATACTATATGATATTACAATGTTGGACACAAGTCATTATATGAACATACACTGTATCAAGAATGAATCTTAAAACTATGGATTTTAGCCACGCACGGTGGCACACACCTGTAATCCCAGCAACTCAGGAGGCTGAGACAGGAGGATTACAAATTCAATATCAGCCTCAGCAACTTAGCAAGACCCTGTCTCAAAATAAAAAATAAGACTACAGATGTGGCTCAGTGGTTTATCACCTCTGGGTTCAATCCCCAGAACAAATACAAAAAAGTTTTTGATCAATACTACTTGAGGAAATATTTTAATTCTACTATAGAAAATATCATACAATCACTATCACATGTGATAAGAGTGTACAACTCAAAAATAAAAGCATTTTAGACTTAGGTTTTTGTAAATTATTTACACTTTAAAATTTGTTGTGATTTAAATTTTCATTCTAAACAAACTTTCAAACCTGAAAACCATCGGCGATGCAGAATATGTTCAAAAAGCAACATATTCTAATTTTGATAAATACATGTTTATAGATATAGAAACATATACTAGAAGACTGCAGCACTAAAACATTAATAATGGTTTTCTCTAGGATTTGGTAGTATAGGGAATCTATATTTCCTTTATATTATTCTGTATTTTCTAAATCTTCTAAAATTAACACGGACTGCATTTCTAATCAAGGGTAAAGCAAGAGATGTTATTGTAAAACCTAGCCATTTCAGAATCCAAGAGGAAAAGGATTGAGAAGCTATCAACCTCAATCCCCAGAAGCTGGTCCACCCTACAACATATGCATAGCGCCAACAAGAGAAGATCTAGGGAGTAAGCGGTGTGGTGGGAAAAAGGGAACAGCAAAATACACTCAGGTTAGCCTGCTCCTAAAGTGCAGAGATAGAAAAGCACTGTGGTTGATAGAATGGGCTCTGCTCAGAAAGTAGAATGGTGGCTGTCAGG